AAACCCTAAACCCTACACATTCTTAAACCCTGCACCCTAAGCCCTCAACCCCGAACCCTAAACCCAAACTCCAAACTCTAAAGATCCTTAAACCGTACACCCTAGGCCCTAAACCCAAACCCTAACCTCAACCTCGATTACACCTGAAAGCCCCCAAGAGGCCGGCTACCCCAAAAATGCCCTGCAGGCGCTGGACACAGCACAGCATCAGCTGACCCGTGCGTCGCATGATGTGTCCGTGGCGAAGGATCAGGGAACCCTGATGAAGGCCCTGTAGGGGCCTGAAGAGATAGTGCTATCAATGCTGGGGGTTCCGCGATCAACTTATAGCGTTTAGGGTTTAGGGTTTAGGGACTTATAGTATCTGAACTCCCATCAAGGTTTTCGACCTAGCCTAGCTACGCAGACGTTTAAGTAGGCTTTGGGGATCAGCTGTTCGGTGGGGGGTCTAGAAACCCTGAACCCTAAGCGCTTCACCTTCTACCCGAACCTAAGCCCTAAACCCTAAGCCCTAAACCCTGAGCCCTAACCCCTAAACCCTAAACCCTAAACCCTCTACCCTAAACCCTAAACCCTGATCCCTCAGCCCTCCAGGGCCGGGGCTTTCGAGAGCGTGCAGATCTGATCATTTGTGGTATCGACTTCGGGGATTTTGCGCCACATGGGGGTTTAGGGTTTAGGGTTTGGGGTTCAGGGTTTATGGTTTAGGGTTTAGGGTTTATGTTTTAGGGTTCAGGGTTTGGGGGGGTCAGAGCTTCTACATGGGAAATGGGGAGTTTGGATTTCAGAGCTGTTTTTTTTTCCAGTTTGGGGTGCCATGCTTGGGCTTCCCCAAGCAGAGACCGGGTCGGTAGCATTTCGCACCGGAACTATGATGAAAATCATCCCGTGAGAGTCCGAACCCTAAACTCTGGACCCCGAGCCCTAAACCCTAAAACATAAACCCTAAACCCTGAACCCTAAACCCCAAATCCTAAACCCTAATCTAACTGTTGAGGCCCTTAGGCCATCGGATGTCCCGAAGTTCAGGAACCCTGCGCCCGCCGGACCGGGGGCGGGGATCAAACGGCCAAAGAAACGTAAACCCTGAACACAATCGGGTATTCGGATGCTCGAGGGCTCTTTGGCTTTCGGAATTACGGTACTAGGGGCTTGTGACGAGGGTTTTGGATTTAGGGTGAAGCCGTCAAAGCTATCCGGATCATCGCACGAGGCACAAAGAAACAAACCTGCACCCTAAACACGTAAACCCTAAACTCTAAACCCCTCAACCCTAAATCCGCAACCCCTAGACCCTGACTGAATCTGCACTTGTAAGAATCGTGCATTTCTCCCTAACGGCTGATGCACAAGAACCATATTAGGGATTGCTAGGCAGAAAAAATTCAAAACGCAGGGGTCAACCTACGGCGCAGAAC